CTGAGGCCACCTAGAAAAAAGACAATAGTCTATAGTGAACAGCACACACCTCTTCCTTTCTACTGGTAAATTGTTAGCAAGCCTTTTAAAAATAGAAGGATCAAATAAACATTAAATGTCACAGTGAGATTTCTAAAGCAAAAATACTCTACCATATTGCTGCAGCACATGGGTGCTCTCAGCGTGAAATGCAGCCAACCTGCTTCCCACGCCAGGGAGTACTTGCAGAACATTTTTCCCATATTCTCCCAGGGCTCACTTCTGTAATCCATGCTGAGTACCACAGACCTTCAAAGCAGAAAACCAGATTCATTCCATGCCAGCTAAAGATCATAGGTCTAGAGTTTGGTACTATGACAAACTCTGGTTCCTTGAGACCTGGTTTTGGAAGCAGGGACAAACATGATCTGCATTTAAAAGCCAGAAGGTCTCTGATACACAGAGCTCCTGGCAAACAACATATAAGCTGCTAATACTTTTTCTTAGTGAGTATTTTCAAATGAGCTTTGGGTTACAAATAACATGAGTTCCAGAGTAATGCATTCAATAATTGTGTATATGATTGGTGTAATAACCCTACATACAACAGCAAGAAATACAATATTTGTGCATGTATTTGAATGGAGGGAAATTCAGACTTACTCTGTCCAAGACTGGGATAACTAAGCATCAGTCTGCTCTGACACAGAACCCTCAGAGCTGCAACAGTCAGATGTCCACAACACACCAGCAAGCTCTGGCATAGCAGCTTGCTCAATCAACTATAGGATTTCAAGGGTAGTGCAATTAGACAAAATGGGCAATTTTCTTCTGCACTTCAGCAAAGCTGTGACCATACCCAGTGCCTGTGACCTGTTTCTTGATTTGCTTTTCATGATGGGTGTCTTTAGTTGGTGTATGTGCAGACCAGGCATTAGAGATGTGCTGGGATACCCATGTCTGAGCCAGTGAATGTGAAAACACAGCTCCCTAAAACCCTCTCCATAGCATGACTACACCCTGTCACCCATCTGGGCCCCAGGTGCTACCCTGAGCTTCAGTTTTTAATCTACCAGTAAAAATCAAAGTATATTTTTGGCCTATAGGCCATACAAAGAAAAGAAGGAGGATGTTCTGGATTTTGTTATATTTTGGTATTCACACTCCTAAACATAAATTATTAGTTGAGACAAGTCATACCTTTCACAAGCTTGTTCCATGCACTGCCTCATTTCCCACAGATTCCTCTCCTGCCTCTGACTTGCCACTCCACAGATACCAGACACTCAGGGCTCCATGATCTCCACTTTCTATGGGTATCTGCACTTTTGCAATATTTCCCAGCTCTTTCCTTTGCTCCTGTCTTTCTCCCCTCCAGCCTTCTGCTAAACTACTCGCAGCTCTTTTGCTAAGGTTTTCCAGGCTCTCCAATATTTCCTTCTCACATCTCCACCCCTCTGGCCCGTGAGCATACACCATGAACAAGTTTATTAACTACTCACCCACTAACACGGGGTGCAATGCACAACAGCCAAACCATGACTGGGTTTCCTCCAGCAAGAGCAGGATCTGTATAGGTGAGTATCCTGCTCCCGACTGTCATGAGACTTCGATGAAGCTCATGGCATTGAGATTTCACCTTCCATGTTTGGTTGAAACTGGCTGATACACAAGAAAAGTAGAAGGCAGAGGGAAAGACAGACAAAAAAAATCACATCAAAAACATGCCTAAAATTCCTATGCCAATTACATGGAATATTTTGAAAACCAGTTAGAAATACATAATGAGCATTTTCAAAAGTGATGAACTGCCTGTACTCAGGTATAAAGTCTGAACTCCATTTATTTAAAAAGGAGTCATTATAATAACTTTGATTTTTCATTAGAGTTTCTCCGTCTCCTACCTCTCCTCCCAACACCTCCTGCAAAAGGATTCATAAAAATCTGCATAAGGACTCCACCACCTCTTCAGTACCACATTTCAGCTGGCTAGAGATAAGGAACAGAGCACTGAATTAAATATGGTCTCCCACACAACCATGCTGTGTATTCCTCCCTTTAGAGGTGGAGATGCTTGAAACAGCCAGCTGAGAGAACAGAAAAAAGCCCACTCTAACAACAGTTCAGTTCCCTTTTTTTTGTAGAATCACAGAATGTTTTGGGTTGGAGAGGACCTTTAAAGGAGTTCCCCTGCAGTGAGCAGGGACATCTTCAACTAGAGTGGGTTGCTTAGAGCCCCATCCAGCCTCACCTAGGAGTGTTTTCAGGGATGGGGCTTCTATCATCTCTCTGGGCAACCTGGGCTGACGTTTCACCACTCTCATAGCAAAATATCTCTTCCTTCTATCTAGTCTAATCTCCCTTCTTTTAGTTTAAAACCATCACCCCTTGTCCTGTCATAACATGTCTTGCTAAAAAGATTGTCCTCCTCTTTCTTATAGGCCCCCTTTAAAGCACTGAAGGGCCACAACAAACTGTCACCAGAGTCTTCTATCCTCTGGGCTGAACAACCCTAAAACTCTCTCAGCCTTTCTTCATAGAGGAGGTGTTCCAGTCTTCTGATCACTTTTGTGGCCTCCTCTGGGCCTGCTCCAACAGGTCTATGCCTTTGTTGTGCTGAAGACTGCAGAGCTGCATGCATTGCTGCAGGTGGGGTTTCACCAGAGCAAGGCAGAGGGGCAGAATCACTTCTTTCAACCTTCCCCACTTTTATCAAACTACAGAAAACACAGGGTGCGTTTTTCTTCCATGAACCTTTCACCCTTTTCACCAGAAGAAGAAATCTCACTTTCGTTCTGATTAACCCACAGTATGGCAAATCTCAAGAGAAAGTATCCAAAGATGTATGATGACATATTTCCTCCAGATTCAGATCCGTTTAAAGGTATTGTGTAAGAGTGTGTACAGAATGGTTTGCAAGAAATCAGTATGAAATACCGTGCTGATATTGGAAGTCATTTCAAAAAGCATCAAGGTTGGATAATCTTGCCCTGGCCAACAGTGCCATGGTAGGATCAGGATGCTATAAAGGTGTGAGGAAACCCTCGGGGAAGCACGTGGGGCTCGTCAACAAGGAACCAACCTGAGAGTTTCTTCCTGGAAGCAGAATGGCTGCAGCAGCACATGCCTGTGTCTCACACCTTCCCAGGCTATGAGGTTTTATCTTACAGAAGCCTGAAAATCTGCAAGGCTAATGAAAATGTTAATGCAAAGTGAGCTACCTCAGTACTACTGGGGCTAACTATTAAAATCTCATGAAAAACATAATGAAGCATTTTTTAAAAAATTTTTATTCACTAACCACAGAAGAAGGCAATTTATCAAAACCATTCACTGCATCTGACTAATAGTTTTGTACATTACAGGAATCCACAACTAACTGATGAATGCTGACAAGCTGTAAACCGTTTCTCTTCTTGTAAATATTGCAAAGTGTCCAACAGTGCTGCTAATACTGCTGCAATAAAATCAATTAAGAGAATAAAAGAGAAGCTAAAAGCATTTCAGAATTGCAGAAAGTCTTTTCGCTATGTTTCATATTTATGTTGCTTTTCTTCCCTTCTCTGGAAAAACGAAAGTCGTGCAGCTCTGTTGTTTCGGGCTGCAGTCTGGTGGGATGGCAGTGGTTAAACTGCATTCACCCTGGGCACGGCTTCTGCAGCAGGACCCTGAAGGAACAGCGAGGTCCTGGGGATGGTTATCAAAACAGCTCAGGGCATTTTGCCCCCTGAACGGGCTGAGCCAATGTACCATTAAGATATTAGGTGAAACAGAGCTTCTGTTTTAGTTAAGCCGCAGCTCAGAGAAAATTGGTGGGCAGTATTGCTTTGCCAGAGTGTGGTGATGGGGCAGGGAAGAGGACAGGCTGAGCAGCCTCTTCCCACCATGGGACAGGGAAAACAGCTTCCACTACACTGTGCTGGTGCATGACCTGTCTCCAGGGGCTCCTGGTCATGCCCCTGCTATTAAGTGTTCAGAAAACAAGAAGTAAATGTCCTGCTTTGAGTTATTTGTCATCATAGTGTCTTCTCCTGACCGTTAGATCTACAAATATTATCAATAAAAACATGAAACCATGATCCTGACTTCTGCTATTGACCTAGGATATCAGAGGCCTTCTGAGTGTTGTGTTATCCAACTGCTGGTGTAAATATCTGCCCATTTTTTTTCTTTTTTTTTCTAAAGTCAAGCTGTGAATTCTGCCATCCAACAAACTTTTTCCTTTGTAAAAATAACCCCAATGTGAAAGCAATAATCAATTTTAAATGGTGAATACCAGAAGCACAGCAGAACACAAATGAAATGTTAACTGGGAATCATAAAACATCTTAAAAACATTAACAAGTAAAATTCAACCTTGTAAAGGGGATAGCACAGGCTGTACATCACTTAAGTCCTACTTAAGTGATCAAAATAGGGTTTAAGTGAAACTTAGCTGGTGGACAACATTTGTGCTGACTCTACAGAGCTGAGAGCCTCCCGTTAACGACTTAACCCTCACAAAGAAGCATTCCTCTGAGGGTAGCTACTTTTATTGCAACCATAGCTTTTGAAAAAAAATGTGTCTTTTGCACTGCTGTTCTACATTATGAGGAGCCTGGTGGTGTGGCCATCTTCAGCTGTTTCCACTTCTCATTCTCACACTCCTCTATGCTATGGCATGGCACCCTGTCCTCTCAGCTGTGCTCCCATCCTGTTACCTGGGTCAGCAGAAATATTACCAGTGGATATCATGTCACATGAAGCTGCAGCTTCATTATTTGATTCCATGAGCCATAAAATGCTCACTGAGACATCTTGCAGTACTGGTTGCATGGGACAGTTATTCAATGGAGGTTGGCTGGCTCCCATTTTGACCACTGCTGGTCCACTTTTCAAAATTCAGAGGGAGGCAAGGAAGACACCCAGGCAAAGAATTAAACCAAAACAACCAGGAACAACAGAAAAACCTCTAATAAACCAGAACAGAACAGTATGTAAGTGCTACTCTTTAAAGCCTTGTATCTATCTCACCCTTTCAGAGCAGGCTTTGGAAATCACAGGCTTAGAGAACAGGGGCCTCTGCGACGTCCGTGCCTCTGACTGCACCAGGATCCGGGTGTTTGGCCTTGGATTCAAAAAGTCACCCAACCTACACTGCCAGGTCACCAGATTAATTGTAAGTAACTTCCTGTGGGCTCATAAAGTATTGATGATATTGTCAAACTTTGACATTTTTATAGTAAATTCTTCTACCTTGAACCTTGCCAAGTGCTATCATCTCTCACTGCCACAGCAGGGTGCAAATAGATTCAAACCCCATTGCCAACATGTCTGCTATGAGCAAGGGGAGCTGGAGGGACTCAGCCCTTCCCCTTTTCGAGTTCCTTGGAAAGTCACAGCTAGTTTTCTTGCTAGTTTTCTCTGTAGGGTTTTGTTTAACTCTTGTTTGGTTCAGCTGCACTGTAGTCCAGTGAAGCCTGAAATCACAATATTATTTCTCATTTTGTGCATCTGGAATCCACACGCTTGGTTGTTTTCCTAAACACATTCGAATGCCAAGTTTTGTGGTTAAATATAAGGTTTCCTCAACATAGTTACAGAGGCTTTTATTTGCATTTTCTTAGTCATAGTTCAAGACAAAATCAGAAGTCTTAATGAGTATTAAACACATCTCTTCCGCTAACACTATAATTTTATTATAAACAACTATTCACGGGCAATTCTACAACTGAATTATCTGGTGTATCAATGTACACAGATATGAAATGTTTGACTCATCTCAATAAAAGATATTCAGCCCGATTCCTATTCAGTGTGCTAATGAAGCAGAGCTGAGATTTGCTTACCATACCTACTTAGGGCTCCACAGGCTCATATCAACAGCGATGTCTTGTGCAGCTGATCTAGACAAGCTGCCAACATCACCTTCAAGGAACAAAGAGCTGCTGAGCTCCAGGAGGAAATACAAAGTTGCTCCACCACCTTACCTTGTCTCCTCAGCTGCTCATCCCAAGCACAGACCACAGCACTTCCCAAATCGATAGACTGTGTGCATAGATGAGCATGGCTTGCTCTTCACTGTGGCTACAGTAACATCTTGTCTTTTAAATACACCATCTGGAAATGCCTTATATTATTAATTAGAAATATAAACATATGTCGACAACTGGAATTTCTTTATATGAGCCTTCAGTTTCTGCACTGTCCTTCTGTTTTACTACAGCATCTCAATGGCAAATGGATATCAAGAGAACAAGAAACCACCAAAGCAGATTTTCTCAGCTCAGAAGCTGTTGACTGCCAGATTCCTCCCCTGAACGTTACAGAGACGGAGGCTGTGCACTTTGCGGCCGGTGATGAGCCATTTGCAAGATGGCAAGTGAAAGTAGGAATTTCTTATGTTTCTAAGAAATGATTATTTAGGAGAAAATCAGTTGTCATGGTAAATTAAAATGCAAAGCACAATTTGCTTCCCTTTAGAAATGAAAACGCCTGTAGAGATACTCATGTTGATGTCATGTAGGGGACAAAACAATATGAGTTTAAACCAGGTGTCTTTGGAGGCAATCCAAATGTGCAGATTACAATCACTTCTCCAGATAATCACCTGAGATGATGCAGTTGTACTAATCAATTGTTAATCATTAGTATTTCATTTCTGGAAACTCCAGCTCAAACTCCTGATTAGGCAGCAAGTATAAAACAACTTTGATGCCCCTGTTGCAAAACTGATGCTTGCAGAGCACTGGACGGCTCCTGGGAAGTAGGTGAGGGCTGGCATGGCCTGAGCAGGGATGTCATGGTCATGATCTCGGTTTTGAATGACTGCAGGAAGAAGCATGTGCAGTACCTGCTCGTGCTGTGTTCTCTGCTGTGGTTTTAGACCCTTTTGTTCACAAAATGATACCTACTTTCTAAACATTTCCAGAAAATCAGTGCCTTACTGACCCTGCGCCTGCTACCCTTGGTCTCGCACTCAGCTTGGATGGTTAGTCTCAGCAGACTGGTTGCTTTTTATGAGACCAGGATCATTTAAAGGCTCTATAGCTGAAAAGAAGTACATTGCCATTGTAGGAAGGCTGCAGATGTGCTTTGCAGGGTGTTAAAATGAAATGCATAAAACACTCACTTCACTGCAGCATTCACACTCCCGCATCCCTGCCTGTCCTGCACCCCACAGCTGTCTGTACCCAAAACTGAGGGCACGTGTTGCTGTGGGGCTTAAGGGACACAGAAAGCTGTTTGGCAGCACAGATTTCCTATCCAGTCATTTATTTTGAATAGATAGGGATCTGTGTTGTAACAGATTAGTGTACAGTCTCTGTGGGAGCAGGGCTTGACCATCTGTCGTTGGGGTGGACATTGGACCCTCCTTCTGAAGAAGGTGCTGTCAGAAAGGGCAGATACTGAGGCTGAATCAGGAGGGCAGTTTTTCCCCTCAAAACAGATAGAGAACGTCTCTTTCCTTGCATTTAAGTTCAAGAAAACCTCTGCACCTGTAAGCTTTCTGCCCTTTCCCTCTCCTTCAAACCCTGCAGAAAAAAACTGGCTGATATCTATGCAGCAAATGCACAATTAAATCATCTCAGTCTGCATGCAAATCCTAGTTCTCCTGTAGGTCTTTTTGTGCATCCCACTTCTCCTGTGGATCTTCTTCCTGATCAAATAGGGAAGGCAGAGCTCAGCTTCAAAGGCAGCTGGGCTTACACAACAGCACACAGAACAAAACAGAGCTTTTCAAGATGAAAAATTATTTGAAACTAATTCCACAGGTGTTCAAAAATTTGTGCTCTGGAAAATTCCCTATTAGACTTACTACAACATTAATCTTCTGGGTTATATTACTAGATACTTTTCAAAATTTAGGTAAAAGATTTTTTTTAGAGCCAAAAATTAGAACAGTGCTTTCTCTAAATATCACTGTTCAGTGTTTTCAGAATCTCTCCTCACTCCCAAATCAGATTTCAAATGAATCAAAGCTTCACATAAGGTTGGGTTGTTTTTTTTTTCCACTACCAGTGTTGGTGGAACAGGGGCTTGACAAGCTCTTTCCAGAGGTCTTTCATTTATCTTCTCTTGTATTCATGTTTCAGATTTTGCCCACTCTTT